GTGTGTGTGTGTGTGTGTGTGTGTGTGTGTGTGTGTGTGTGTGTGTGCGTGTGTGTGTGAACTCTCTCCCTGACCGGGAGTCAAAATGTGAAATGTAATAAATGACTTACATTATTGATGGGTATTCAAATTCAAGACTTTTTTAGTTTTTTACAGTTTCCAAGTCCAAACAAATGTTCTCAGAGAATGAGAGCTCAGCTTCAATGTTCAAGCTGGTCAATTAATCTGCTGCCTTCAACAATAGAAATAACAAGATTTTAGGCCTTTACACCCGTAACAAATAAACTACATGAAAATGCAAAACATAACATTCGCCGGCGAATATTTCGCATCAAAACTGTTGATGTACTATATATATTTATGTGTAAATTAACCACATGAAAAAATGCGGTCTGTGTGTAAAGGCCAGAGTCTACAGTCAAGCTAGCACCTCTGTGAGGCTGTACTAAATAGAAACATGCTAAACCATCTAGCGTGTTAGCATGCTATCATTTGCTAATTAGCACCAAACAATATGCACATCTGAGGCTGATAGGAACGTTATTAGTTTTGCAGATATTTGGTCATAAACCTAAGTTACGTTATTTGACCTGATTAGGACACTGGGGATCGCCAAAGTGATTATAATCCATCGTGAAAGGGAAGAGACTATCCGTGCCAAATATCATAGAGACATGTCGCTCAAAAGCACAATTGTTAACCTCGTGTTGGCTTTAGAGGAAGAGTCAAGGAAGAGTCAGGGTACATCATCTGGGAACCGTGAACGTGTGGACAACATTCTGGCCAATCCATCCGGTTGATGTTGAGATATTTCTACATTTTGATTCGCTGACTCACCACTTACCGAGGACCCATGGGAAGCAAAAAGACCAAGAAATATCTCCTCCGACACCTTTTGCTCTGACACCTCTAAAATCACATAAATCCCTCATCTTATTCTGCATTCTTCAACTGACCAACGCCTGATCACACATACGGTTCTCTTCCATTTAGAATGAAGACTACCAGCTGTATGAGGGAAAAGGTTTCTCACCACGGAAGCAGCAAATGTGATTGGCCAGGATTGTCACAGCCTCTAACACACCCACCACAATGTGTGATCAGGTATTCTTTCTGATCCTACCCCGTATCTAGGCGCTCCAGGTGCCTCTGGTTACAGAATTATCAAAAGAGTGTTGCCAAGCCCAGGGCTTGGCACACTTCAGTGCACTTCGCTTCACACCGGGCCCCTTAAATATAGGGCTGAAAACAACCGTCAGCTAAAGCTCTGGTAGGGAAGCTTAGAAACCTGGATTCTCATGTTTTTTCTTCCAAGTCCAAATTTCCTTCTTCGACTCTTAAATTGCCCTCAAGCTGCATCAAATCACGACTCGCTGCACAACAAAGGCCATCTATATATCTGAGGATCTGTAAGAATATGAATCATCATGATTTCAGTGAGGAGACTTTGAGACACTGTCTGGACAGAAGCGATTCTGTCTAAGAAGCTACATTAAATGACAAACACATAAGACAACATGTCAGTCATGTACGTTAAAGTAGACGGACCCTGTTTTTCATTCATCCGTCGTGAATATTTCACACTCACCTCAAAGTGTGTATTTTGCTGCATGCCCACACATTCTAAATTTATATCATCGGTTCTTATTCATGTAAGAGCTTGTACTCCAAGGTTGTACAACGTTGTACAACGTGTTCCAAAGACGAGACATGGGAGCAAACATGACACCCTTCCAACGGTGCTTCATTATCGTTGTAGGATGAATAATGTTCATATTACGATGTTTCTGGTGCACTCTTTGATATTGTAGTGTGGGTATGACAGAGCAGAAGAGCTCATGTGCAACATATTAGTCCAACAGGAAGCAGAATCCAGTTTTCATCAGCTGTCAGTGAGGCAGAATTTCTGCTCTCATGATATTGGCCTGTAGTTTCACAAAGCAGTTGTAGTAAGAGGGCATTTTGGGGCGAAGAGGGACACGTGAAATGCGGACTTTGCTCAGTGAGTTTGAGGTTTGATTGAACAGTGGCGTTACGTTACCTCAACAGCGTAACTGCTTCATTTCATGTCGCATTCTATAAATATGGGTCATGGCAACAATCACATGGTGGGAATTTTGGTACTTTTTTTCTCAACGAGTCCTATGTCATACATGTGATTGGACGCCTGATGGTTAGAGAAAGATCACTAGTAACTCCAGTCCCAGGTCTGGCTTCAGAACGGAGCGGGAGCTGGACATGCGGTTCAGTGCTGCCTCAGCAGTGACGCAGGTGTTGTGCCGAACCGTTGTGGTGAAGTATAGGAGCTGAGCTCTTGATTTACCAGTCCACCAGTTCCAATTGTCAGCTGTGGCTTTAAATAATGACCCAAAAATTGCTTGGGAGAGGTGACGTCTGGAATACCCTCCTAAGCCTGCTGGCCCTGTGACCCGGCCCCGGATAAGATGAGGAGAGTGGATAAATGGTTGTCTTTGGTTGCAGAAGCTCTGGATCAGCCATCAGTTAGCTTCTCACAGTGCGATCTAAAACCGTTGCTTTTGACTGAAGATCAAAGGTTTTGCCTTGTGTAAATGGACCATTATGAATTGCCTAATGACAGTGTTGCAGTCTGACTTGCGCCTTACCATCTGTGACAGCCAACTGGCAAACTAATCTCATTCCTTTCGTTTGCATGACTAACGCACAGTTAGACTTGGCTGCGAAAATTGCAATCAAATCTCTTCTATAAAAACCAAACACGCTCCAGCATTATGCTGATACCATAAACTCCCTGTTAAATATAACTACAACATTTTATATGTATCAGTATTGCTGCTGTGCACAAAAGCAATGTTTAACCCCTTCTGCTCTCACACTAGAGGCGTCGGTGTTGATTCACCCTTTAGCCAGCAGCCTACTTGTTGAGTTACATAAAGATAAACCATGATAATCCCCTTAAAATTCACTTAAAATTTCATAGCACCACGATTCCATCTTTCTCAAAAAGATTATACTTTTTCACAGAGCTGCTGGAATCCATCTGAAGTATCAGATGTCTCCTCCTTGATAATAATAGCAGACATAATTACAGCTTGAAACATGACAAGGGCACTGTGTTCTGTATTGGTGCTGGTTAAAATGGGATATGCAGCAAATAGTACTAAATAATAAAGCACAAATCATCCTGTTCTCCACAATGATTCATCTAGTTTTGGGTGTTAAACCTTCACCGTGCAGCAAAATGCAGCCTTAAAGTAGAAGGTATGAGTAGAGCATACAGTTACATTCACTCACAGATTTACAGCAACTGATGCGTTTGCCTCATCTACATCGGCAGGCATATTACCCACAATGCATTTATACATTTGTGCGGTTATCTTTTATGCTGCAACATTTCATGCGAGCCATAACTCATCGGCAAAAGTCCCCGTCGGAGTGTTTTGCTTGTGTCTTTCACTGGGTAGATGTGTGGTGCAGGAAAGGACTCTCTGGATCAGCATCACCATCAGCTTTGATATGATCGGACTCAACTAATGCATAATCTTCCCGTGTTATGAGCACAGAACAGGTCGCTTTATTCAACGCGCTCCAGGGTGGAGAGCCTACACTGTGATGAACCAAACAACTATTATTTTGGGCCGCATATAAAGCAGCTTCTTTCTTCTCATGCGTCCAAGAGAATCACGCGAAGAAGGAATTACCTCAATAAATATTTATGCTGAGAAGGACGCTTTAAAGCTTTGCCATGGAAATCGATGTCCAAATCAGTATTCGGATGCATATTTTTTTCAAATAGCTATAGACTATGCATCCCAAATAGCACATGAAATAAGGAGTACTAATCTTATATTAGTTATTATGCATCAAAGTTAATTATTATGAGTTCTCCTCAGATGGATAGGTTGTTTTGTCGTTTTGTCGCTGTCCAAGGTGCTGGAACGCAGTAGAGGAGTTTGATAGACAGTTTGAATAGAGCTAGCTATTCTATTTTCCACCTATATGTTGGCATATGCTACAATATACTGTATTTACTCATCCATCTGTTTATAGGTCTAACTATGAGCAAATCTATTTTCACGGGCCATCGCTGTAACTTTTTTGATGAGATGATTACACAATTTGTCTCCGTTTTCATTACAACAAAAAGGAAATTCCTTGAATTCAGATTTTAGTAAAGCACAATAAAAGAAAATGATGATCGCAAGTATGACCTGTGTTTTTCCTTTGTTTTACGGCCGACACCTATTATTCTATTCACTGTGTAACGCTTCGTGTTGACTGTTGTCGGTCCTGCATTCACACTGTGCATTGTTCAGCATTTAGTTACTTCAGCAACAGTCAAAGACTAGGTCCATTAGTGTTAATGTGATTTCAACACAAACAGTAAAGAGGCAGACTGCTCCCTACACTGGGCCTGTTACTAATACTGTGTGTGCGAGAAGTCGTTTTCTTTCCCGCATCAGCCCGACTTATGTAGCGCCCCCCCCCCCCCCCCCCCCCCCCCCCCCCCACCCCCCCCCCCGCACCCCACCGCC